AGACCTTGCTGGACTCTACAGGCCAGTGTTTAGAAAGTGTTTTGATATGTAGACCAACAGAAAATAATTGAGACCTTTGTAGGGTTTTAAGCATGAGTGTGGGTGGGGTGATAGGATCAGATCTGCATTCTGAAAAGATTACTGGCTTCCCTGTAGGAATGGATTAGAGGGCAGGGCGAGAATGTATGGTGTACTGAGATAGATGCTTCTCTGAACATTTGCATGTAAACTTGAGACTTTGAAACTTCAGGTTTTAAAGAGATTGGGATTTTCTAAGAAAAGAAACACTGGTTTTTGTCTTTTAAATCTTTTATGTTTATTTTTTAGGGGCAAGGCAAAATGGGTTCACAGTGTGTGGAGAAAAAGAAGAATGAGTAGTACTCCTTCCCAGAAGTCCTGGGAAAAAGCACGTCATTGATTATCAAAGTTAACTTTTTCTCCCAAAATGAAAATAGCTTTATTGATTTTTTGGGATTCTATACCCAATATAAATTATATTCTCAATACACAGCAGTACAGAAAATGTGTCAAGAAATTTTTTTCAAAACTGAAATTCAACTACTGAGAGAATTATCGTCCCCATTCTGTGACTATCCTTTTAAACTACTTTCCATGCTAGTATTCACATATGAAGTTATGTATATATTCTAGGGACCATTGCTATCAATAAACATTAATGGTTGAATTGATTATTCCTATTATATATGTTAATTATTGCTTTTTTTAACTCAACACTAAGCCCTGGACTCATAAAATGCCACATCAACCTTTTTAATGGTTGGTCAATAATTCATTATAAGCATGTACCATAATGTATGTAAATAACCCCATACTGATGAAAGCTCAAGTTTTTTAGGCTTATACACAGTGCTACAATTAATGTCCTTGCACAGACATCTTTTTTTTTTTTTTTAAGATTTTATTTATTTATTTGACAGAGAAAGACACAGCGAGAGAGGGAACACAAACGGGGAGTGGGAGAGGGAGAAGCAGACTCCCCGCTGAGCAGGGAGCCCGATGCGGGGCTCGATCCCAGGACTCCGGGATCATGACCTGAGCCGAAGGCAGTCGCTTAACCAACTGAGCCACCAGGCACCCCTTGCACAGACATCTTAATATACCTGTCTAGGATAAATTTCTAGAAAGGAAATTGCTGGGAAAAAAGATACATATATATATATTTCTATTTTGATACATACAGCCAAACAGCCTACCTGATAAGTTATTCTACATTCCCAATTATATTTACTTTACTACACCTCTGATGGATTAAAAAATCACTTATCCACTGGTGTTTTTTTCCCCCCCACTGGTGTTTTTTATGCACACTGCTGATTACTAGCCAAGTCTGCATACCTTCTGATATGTTCACTAGTCATTTGTATTCCTTCTTATATAGTTTTCTACGTCTTTTGCACATTTTTTTCTTCTACTAGATATGTGTTTGACCTATTGATTTACAAGAGCTCTTTGTATATTAGTGATATTAAGCCTTTGTCACATATAGCCAATTTCTTTTTCCTAGTACACCTAAAAAAAAAAAAAAAACTTTATTATGTCTCTGAAAAATTTTTGTTTTAAAAACTTTTGTTTTCAGGCGCCTGGGTGGCTCAGTCCTTAAGCGTCTGCCTTTGGTTCAGGTCATGATCCCAGGGTTCTGGGATCGAGCCCCGCATCAGGCTTCTTGCTCGGCGGGAAGCCTGCTTCTCCCTCTCCCACTCCCCTGCTTGTTTCCCTCTCTCGCTGTCTCTCTGTCAAATAAATAAAATCTTAAAAAAGAAAAACTTTTGTTTTATAATTTTATATAGGCAATTCTGTTAGAGCTTTTTCTTTAAAGCTCTTGTTTATATGTTCTACTTAGAACTAGGTCTTTCATGGCCCAATATTATAAAAATACTTCCCTAACTGGGGGCGCCTGGGTGGCTCAGTTTAAGTGTCTGCCTTTGGCTCAGGGCTCAGATCATGATCCCAGGGTCCTGGGATCAAGTCCCAAGTCGTATAGGGCTCCCTGCTCAGCGGAAAGCCTGCTTCTCCCTCTTCCACTCCCCCTGCTTGTGTTCCCTCTCCCTGTGTCTGTCAAATAAATAAAATCTTTAAAAGAAAACCAAAAAACACTTCCCTAATTGTATTTTCTTTTGGTACTTTTCACACTTTTGAGAGCATTTCTGGAGGGCAATCAAATGATACTAATGACTTTATGAAAATGTTTATTCCTCTTGCAAGAAATTCCCCTTTTAGGATTTATCCAAAAGAAATAATAGATACAAGGTTTTAGTTTCAAGAATATTCACTAAAGAATTGTTTATAATGACCAAAAAAACTGTAAACAATGATAAATCCAACAATAGAAGACCAGTTAAATAAATTAAGGTATATCCATAGCCATTAAAATGACACTAAAAATATTTACTCATATTAAAACATATTAATAACTAGAAACGCAAATATGCTAAGATCCAGTTCATAAACACCAAAAAACCATTTTAGCTAGGCACAGAAAAAGATGACTATATTTACACAATAGTGGTTAGTTTTGTTACCAGAAAAAATGAGTGATCTTTTTTGTTTTTTTCTCCTATGAGCATGTTTAAAGTATGAAAAAAGTTTAAAATTGAGTGTAGCCTATAATTATGCAGATATAGTGTATCATGTGTGTTTTAGTAGGGAAGGATGCCTTAGACTAGAGACTGTCTTCAACCTTACAAATGTAACTTCTGCCTCATCCAATAATCTTGAGCAAGTTGGTTAACCCTTTTGTACTTGAGTTTCCTCATCTGTTAAATGAGGATAATAATACCTACCTTGATTTAATTTAAAGGCAGTGTGCAAACTGTAATTCACTGTAAGCTACATAGAAAATGGTGTTAATACTAATAATATTATTTATATTTGATGAATATGGAGATACGTATACACCTGTGAAACCATCACCACTATCTATGCTATGAACATATCCATCACCTTCAAAAGTTTTCTACTGCTGGGGCGCCTGCGTAGCTCAGTCGTTAAGCGTCTGCCTTCAGCTCGGGTCATGATCCCAGGGTCCTGGGATCGAGCCACTCATTGGGCTCCCTGCTCCACGGGAAGCCTGCTTCTCCCTCTCCCACTCCCCCTGCTTGTGTTCCCTCTCTCTCTGTGTCTCTCTCTGTCAAATAAATAAATTAAAAAAAAAAAAGTTTTCTACTGCCTACTTTGTTATTACCTTTTTGTGAAGGACACTTAAGACCTACATTCTTAGCAAACTTTTATACAGTACAGTATTGTTAAATATAAGCATGATGCTATACAATAGATGTCTAAGACTATTCACCTTGCATAGCTGAAACTTTGTACCCTTTGACTAACACCTCTCATTTCCACCCCCACCCCAACGCCTGGCAACCATTACTCCACTTTCTGCTTCTAAGAGTTTGAATACCTCATAAAAGTAGTATCATGCAGTATTTTTCCTTCTGTGTCTGGCTTATTTCACTTACCATAATGTCCTCCAGTTTTATCCATGTTGTTGCAAATGGCAAGATTACCTTCTTTTTTTAGGACAGAATAATATTCCATTGTATATATATGATTATTTTTTTAACGTAAATTCAGTGGAAACATTAGTTCAGTACTTTAAAAAATAATGCCTTTGACTTAGTAAGGAAAGAAAAAAGAAGAAACAGAAGAAAAAATTGCCTAGCAAAACACATTGCAAGGAAAGATAAATTATTCAACAAACATTTCCTAACTCCTACTATGTGCCAAGCTGGGATTGGGGTAGGGGATTATAAGAGTGAATAACACACAGTTACCATTCTCAGGTACTTCATTCTGGTGGATGACACGCGTCAATCCCACAGACAGAATCATAGGCCATTGACCCTAGAAACTAAAGAGGCAAAGTGTCCCTACCAAGGCAGTAAAGGACAGTCACATTTGGCTAACAAAGATCAGCTGACCAAGGTATAGGATCTCTGCCTCACAGCAGTTCTAGTAGGCCAGTATCAAGGTAACCTATAGCACTTTTACATAGCCTAAAGTGAAATTAGGGGATAAATTGGTTGGGGAATACCCATTCTTTTTTTTTTTTTTTTTTTTAAAGATTTTATTTATTTATTTGACAGAGAGAGACACAGCGAGAGCAGGAACACAAGCAGGGGGAGTGGGAGAGGGAGAAGCAGGCCTCCCGCAGAGCAGGGAGCCCGATGTGGGACTCGATCCCAGGATCCTGGGATCATGACCTGAGCCGAAGGCAGACGCTTAACGACTGAGCCACCCAGGCACCCCATGGGGAATGCCCCATTCTTGAGGGGTTCCCCTGGTAAGCATAAGGGGGAATCCCCTTAAATATGGTAGAACCCCCAACAGCAAATGTAGGGGCTAAGGGGAGAACAGATCCCTGCTTGCTAGCAGGAGACTGGAAGGGGTGGGGGAATTCTTAAAAACTCCATTTACAGAACAGGAGATCCCCTTCTGTTACTCAAAGTCCCCTCGTAGGGCTGTTTTGAGACATTTTTGAGTACTATCTTCTACTTTGCTTCTGATTCCATCTACCTTAGGATTCAGAGAAAGACAACTGAATATATATTTATACAGAATAAATGATAAAAATATAAATACATACACACACCACACAGTCACACTATTTGGTTGTTGGAAGTTCAGTAGTCCTAGATTTAAGTCATTTATTTGTACCATTTGAATCTAGTATTCATTCCTAATTAATCCATGTTTAAACATAATTCCAGACAGAAAACAAGGTGAATTTTACAAAATATAAGGTAAGATATATGTCTGAGAAAAACACAGTCCTGACACAATTCACACCATTAAGTATTCAAACACTTCTGGTGACTCTGGTGCTACCAGAAAGCAAAAATAATAATACTAGCATAAACTTACATAGTGCCTATTAGGTATTAGACATATAAGATGAAAAGAAGCAAAGATACACATTTAACAGTTTGGGAATGAAAACAATTCGTAAAGTTGAAATAAAAATTAAGTCCATTTTCACTTACCATTACTTTAATCCTAGATAAGCAATTAACTTCAGTAATTCTTCTTTTTATGGGGGTGGCAGTGGTGGTTAAAATACAATAAATAATGCATTTGTTTGCAAAGTGCCTGGAATTGAAAAAATGCATTAAGGACAAAGTACAGTATTATTATAACATTCTTCTATATATCACATGGAAGCACATATTATATGTGCCCAAGCAGGCAGAATCCTTTCTTCTCCAAGGTACAAATTAGGTCAGTATCATGATTCTACTGTCTTAGATTTCCCAACAATTAAAACAAAGCAGGACACAAAGAAGAAGAAAAAAAAAAAAACCCACAAACCATACCAAGTGAGGATCTTTATCAGAATTTCAAGCTGTTGATCATTGGTAGGCAGATGACAATATGATTATTACTGGAAAAATAACTCAAAGCCAAAGCCTTTTTGTGGCAGGTTATCAGCATCATTCTTTACATTAAAATCATATTTTGTCTATAAGATACAACTAACACTTTTTGTTTGATATATAATACTGTTTATTTCTACAGACACTAAAATTATAGTGAATTAAGTGGAAGTTGCTTTGTATAATACAATCAACAGTATATATGAGTCTCGATGTGCATGCATGTGTTTATCCATTGAAAAATATTAATACTAATGGTATTTTATAATGTCTGAGAAAATCTGTTTTTTAAAGTTAACAGAAACATACCATATTCCATACTCCACATTACATATTCAAAGGTATAATATTTTTCTTATTTTAAAAATAGAAATTTCAAGAGAACAGAATCATAAAACTAGAGGGCCTAAAAGCTGTAATACATGTTCTTTATTAAACATATATAATTTTCCATTAATACATAATGCAGACAATTAAAGCCTCTAACAATAATCTGTAAGTGTAAAGAGTTTGTGCATATTTCCAATTTTTTCTATGCACATCCTAACGTGTTTAATGTAAAAAGTGTACCCTGCCATATAAATGTCCTTTTTCCCTTTTTCAAGAGTTTATCTTGAATATATTTCATATTAGTTTGTGATTAAACTTTTAATATTAATAAATTTCTTTAAAGTTAAAAAGCCTCGCCATAGTTTGAGAGGATCATTTTTTTTAATTTTTAATTTTTTTTTAAGATTTTATTTATTTATTTGAGAGAGAGAGAATGAGAGACAGAGAGCACGAGAGGGAAGAGGGTCAGAGGGAGAAGCAGACCCCCTGCTGAGCAGGGAGCCCGATGCGGGACTCGATCCCGGGACTCCAGGATCATGACCTGAGCCGAAGGCAGTCGCTTAACCAACTGAGCCACCCAGGCGCCCGAGAAGATCTTTTTTAAACCTGAAATAGGTTTGAATAAAAAATAAGATTTATTTCACATTTTAAAATAGTAAAACGAGTCTAAACACTTTAAAATTTAGCTTATTTAAAATTTCAAGAATAGGAGTATAAGGGCTCTAAGTTGGAAAACTCGACCAAGATTATGAGTTTCATTTCTAGCTCAATCTGTTCCTCTAATCATTCTAAATTCCATATGCAATGTAAACAATTAAAAAATAAATCTTAATAACTAATTCTTGTCTTTAGATACACAATCCTTGGAGTCGCACACAACGTCCGTATAAGCAGACTCCTCCCCGCTCCTGGGGAAAACCCTGCCTAATATTTATAACGTTATGACATACTGTAATACTCACAAGGTGGTTGTAGAAGTATAAACACGACTGGAGTTATCTGATTGGCTGGTGGTGATGTAACACCCATGTCAATACTTCCCAGTGAACGCACGTGTTCGACCTTTTATTTAAATTTCCATTTCATCACAGCAATAAGACACTCGGGGCGGTGCATTTTCTGTGAAATGATTATTGCCTTGGGCCTGAGGTGCTGCCTGGCACACACAATGCTGCAGACGAGGAGGTGTCGGTGGTTGTAACCTCCTTGTGTGAAAGGCACCGCCTGGTCCAGTCTTTGTGAAGGAACAAAATAAGTTCACTTCCTTGGGCACCGCCACCCACCCCTAGCAAATGACAAGGCTGGAGCGCAGCAGCCCCCACCGCACAGTTATTTCCAAAGTCCCAGGTGAACTCGTGGCGAGAGGAGGAAAATGTGCGTCCCGGGCGCGGGTAGGTGCGTGCGGGCAGCGGGGAGGCGGCCAGACCCTGACACTCGCCAGCTGTTTGTCCTCCGCGTAGCCCGGCCCCGGCCGCACACGCCCGCCCCCTCCTCGAGACCCCCAGCCAGCCGCTCGGCCTTTTGTCCCCCGCCCCTCGGCCGACTTCCTTCCCCCCCGGCCGCACCCCCGCCCCCAGGCCGGAGGCGCGGCCCAGCCCCTTTCCCGGTCCCCTGGCGCCCCCACCCCACCCCGGCCCAGCCCCAAGCCCAGCCCCCCTCCCCCAGCCCGGCCCCCACCCTTTCCCCCTCCAGCGGTTACTGCTACCCCGGTGCATTGTGGGCGCACGGTCCGTTGTTCATTTGCCATTCGACCTCCGCCAGGGCCTGGTCGGACGGAAACGCTCCGCCGGCTTTATTGTCGGTTCGTTATGTGGCGGAGCCCAGCAGCTTAACGTGCCTCTCGCCTTCAGCGCCTGGGAAGTCGGCGGCGGCGTCGGGACTCCTCGGCGCACCGGAGGAAGGATATCTGTTTGGAGGGTCGGTGTGTGCGCGCGGCTTTAAAGAGGGGGCAGCGGAGGGTCTCCCCGCACTCCGCTTCTCAACTTCGAAGGCCCCACGCGCCCCGGCTCGCTGCTCACCTCTCCGCCGCCCGCCCCCTTCTCCGCGCGGGACGCTGTCCGGAGCACAGCGGGGCGGGGGTGGAGGACGAGGAGGCGGCCGGAGGCGGCGGCCCGGCGGGCGGCGGTGGACGCGTGAGGCAGCCCCGGCAGCGAGCGCGAGCCCGGCGGCCGGGCGGGAGGGCGAGGCCGAGCCCCGCGAGACCGGAACGCCGGGGGTGGGGGCGGGGGCGACGCCGAGGGGGAGCGGCGGGGAGCGCGCGGGACGCGGCCCGAGGCCGGGCGCGAGCCGGGGCACCGGGCGGCGGCGGCGGCGCGCGCCATGTCGTTCAGTGAAATGAACCGCAGGACGCTGGCGTTCCGAGGAGGCGGGTTGGTCACCGCCAGTGGCGGCGGCGGCGGCGGCGGCAGCTCCACGAACAATAACGCTGGCGGGGAGGCCTCGGCTTGGCCTCAGCAGCCCCAGCCAAGACAGCCCCAGCCGCTAGCGCCTCAGCAGCTCAATGGGCGGGGGGCCGACGAGGAAGTGGAATTGGAGGGCCTGGAGCCCCAAGACCTGGAGGCCTCCGCTGGGGCGGCCGCTGCCGCCGAGGAAACCAAGGAGTTGCTGCTCCCCCAAGACGCGGGCGGCCCCACCTCGCTGGGCGGCGGTGGCGCGGGGGGCCCCCTGCTAGCGGAGAGGAACCGTCGGACTCTGGCCTTCCGAGGCGGCGGCGGCGGCGGGGGTCTCGGCAACAATGGCAGTAGCCGCGGCCGCCCCGAGACCTCGGCGTGGCCCCTGAGGCATTTCAATGGGCGAGGGCCAGCGGCTGTGGAGCTGGAGCTGGACGCGCTGGAGGGGAAGGAGTTGATGCAGGACGGCGCGTCCCTGAGCGACAGCACCGAGGACGAGGAGGAGGGGGCGAGCCTGGGCGACGGCAGCGGGGCGGAAGGCGGCAGCTGCAGCAGCAGCAGGCGGTCGGGCGGCGATGGCGGGGACGAAGTGGAGGGCAGCGGTGTGGGAGCTGGCGAAGGAGAGACTGTCCAGCACTTCCCGCTCGCGCGGCCCAAGTCCCTGATGCAGAAGCTACAGTGCTCCTTCCAGACCTCTTGGCTCAAAGATTTTCCTTGGCTGCGGTATTCCAAGGATACTGGCCTTATGTCCTGTGGCTGGTGCCAAAAGACCCCAGAGGACGGGGGAAGCGGGGACCTTCCTCAAGTGGGGCACGATGAGCTCTCGCGAGGGACCCGAAACTACAAGAAAACCCTTCTTCTGAGACACCACGTCTCTAATGAGCACAAACTCCACGAAGCCAACGCCCAGGTACAGTATATCCTGCTCCTACTTTTTCAGATCTTTTAAGGAAAGATTTATCAGCCAAAAAACACCACCACTTTTCTTGGGTGAGGAAGGCATCGTTCCAGTTGTGGAATTGAAGGGAGCTGATGCGTGGGGGTTTAGAAAGCCTGAGAACAAGTTTTCAAAAGTTATCTGTGTTGGGGGGTGGGGGATGGAATGACAATTTTCTAATCGTAGCGCTGAATTTATTTTTTTATGATTCCTCCTTTTACCCATCAGAATTTTTAAAAAGTTTAAGAAAGCGAGGTTGAAGGTTTTAAACCCTAAAAAGTGGACTTTACGGTCAAAAGTTTTACTAGCTGTGATTTTAGAAAAGCTGCCTTATGTTTCAGTCTTTTCAGCATGCTGATGGAAGTCAAATCTGGCGACTCTTTGAAGAATGAATTAAACAATTTCCTTAACCGTTGACACTAACCCTTTCAGGAAAACATTCAGCTGAGAAAATTTCTTTATTATCAGGTCAGGATAATGTGAAATCTGAGAGCAGTATGTAAATGTAGAGGAAGCTATTTGGATAACACTCCTGTGAATGATTTTACTAAATTCATCTCCCTTGAACTTTCTGTTGAATTTTCTCTTACCAAAGGCATGCTTTGGTAAACTACTGGAGTTTTACTTGTTTCCTTCTACCCAGATTCTTGCGCTGAGATTTTCTATAATCCTCCCTTTTTAAAAAAGTTTCTTGTAAATGAAGTTTACTTTAAACTTCGCATGTTAAGGATGTTTCTTGTGATGTTATTTCTATCAGGTAGTAGGCTGGTAGAGAATGTATTTACTAAAGTCCTTGAAAGTATAAGTCCTTAGTTACAAAACAGGTAAGCTATACGTTAATTGTTATTTCTTGTTTTAATATTTCCAGTTTAAAGATAGTAGGCTTACCATTTTGGTAATCCTTTTTCAAGCCAAAAGAGATGATGTTGAGCAGTTCTTGTTTTAAGTCTTTCAGACAACCTGTGTGGAAGATGGAATTCATTCTTTTGTTTTGGTAGCCAGTCACTGATTTTAGAAAGTCAACTTTTAGATATTAGTTCCTCTATATGTTTATTGGCGAGATCTTGCTGTTCAAAACACTTATACTGGAGTTAATTAGGTGCTATCCAATAACCCCATAGTACAGTAGTTTCTCAGAAGTTAACTTTAAAGCATAGGGTTATTTTTCCCAGTGGAGAATGGTAATAGTTTTTGCACAAATTTGAGTTGCCTAAGCCCTAGAAGGAAGGTCACTTAAAGATGTACAGTCCGAAAAGGTTAAGTAAATTGTTCTTAGTCCTTGATGACAACTGAGACTAGAGCCTACAGGGAATGTTGTAAAGGAAAACGAATGGGTTTTGGAGTAAATCTGGATTCAGGTCTCAGCTTTCTACAATTACTAGCTTTGTGACCTTGGGTAATGGAGTGAAATATAACTAACATTTACTTGTGTTCTGTATGCCAAGCACACTTTACCTTACTCTGCAAAGTAATCTTTATTTTATAGATGCAGAGTCGGGGGCTTTAGAGAGTTAAGTAATATGTTGTAAGATGATGGAGGTGGGGGACTTGTGAAAATGAAAGTGTACTTTTCCAAATAATGGTAGGTTGGTTATTTAGAAAATTATAAAAAGACAATTAGAAGGAATATTCTTAATGTACAGTGGGCCAGTTATTCTTATCAGCATAGTCTGTCCCTGTAGGCAAATCTGAGTGGGAATGCAAAATATAATTAGCTGCTTAGTGAACCTGAAATGAGAGGAAGGGGAATTAGTTGGATAACCTTATGATAGACTAGTTAGTGTGGTGTGTTCTTCTCCCCTAGGCATTATCTGGATCAGGGAATTCATTCCCTAGGTAAAACCTTTTCTAAACTTGATCTCTGAATTACCCCTTCTTTTCCCTTTGCCCCCTACAAGAGTCCCCTTTTTAAGACATAATGTGCACACCATCTTTCTCTTAGGACATTCTCTCATTAGGCTGAGGACAATACAATTTAATAAGTCGTGTGTCTAAGGATATGTATTGGTTTCCTTGATTGGATTTTGGATGTTTCCACTCTGAATTGATCCTAACTTCTCTATTTTTGTTGCAACGTTAGTTTGGGGTGTTAACCTTGCTGTTGACCCCAGGTACCACCAACATATCTTTGTCTTGTTGATATGAGTGACCTTTTCAAGAACTGATTCATTTGAGCAGAATTCATTTTTTTTTTCTTTGCCCTGTAGCCTTGGACTACCGGTAGGAGGCAGTATAACACAATCTGTAAGAGCATTCTTGGGCTTAAGGTTAGGGGGACCTGAATCCTAATCCTCTACTTTCTTGGCAGGCAAAGGAGTTTAACTTCTAGTTCCCTTGTATATGCAAAGTATATGTGCCAGCATGTAATCACTTAGCGAATGCTAGCCATTATTTATTATCATCATTGTGTATATTTATCACCAGTGGCAAGTTTTTTTTGGTAGCCTGGTACCTCATGTGTCTCAGTTGTTAACCAATTTTCACAGTTTGGAAACCACTTTATCTCTTGGGATCAATCCTGATTCTAGAGAATAAACCAGTTTTCCTTTTCATACCTTCAGAGACTTTGGCCATCCAGTTCTTTAAACATTCTGAGACTTTCTCATACATGCAAATTTTTTCACCGCTTCATAAAAATATCTTGCATTAGCTTTATCCTGTCTTAAAAATGATGAAATGAGAGTTCTGTAGTTCTTCAGGCAAGAATTCACTTTGAGGCTAAGGGTAGTTCATGCCCTTTATTCCCCTCAACTCCTCCCCGCTTTTTTTTAAAAGAGATTTTTTTTTTGAGAGGAGGTGGGCCAAATCACTAAGTGTTAACTTCTCTTTCTTATGCTTTCTGAAAGTAAGAAAAGTTCCTTTTCATTAAATCATGGTGACCAAAGAATTATAACACATTCCTAAAAAGCTTGCTGTTCTGCTAATTGGGTGTTGGTTAAGATTGTTCATGGGAGAGTCAAAATATGCGCTCAGAATCTGTTCTGAGCCTTCTATTTCAGCAAGATTCCTATATTCTTTCTAAGGATGTAAGGGGCAACATACAGTTTCCTATATTCTCTATAAGGATGTAAGGGGCAACATACAGTTTTCATTTTGAGTAATAACTATCTTCATCAAGGAAAGTTCAATGATTAGCTTATACAGGATTTGACCATTTGGCCCAGAGGACTTTAAAACTGCTTTAATAATAGTGGTTACTGCTGTATCTTGGTTCAGATCACTTTCTACCCAATTGTGAAATTTTCATAGCCTAAATCACATTCTGTCAACTCTTTCCAGTTTACATAACTCTCTCCAGTTTACTAAGTCTAAAACATACAGTCAAATGTATTACTATAATTTTCATTAATCTTTATAGAAAGTAAATACTGAACTTAGGTCAGTGATCTGATTGACATTACCAATGAGAATATGTTGAGGTCATAACTAAAGCAAAAGTGAGATGGTCTAGAAGCTAGCTGTCTTTGCATTTGACAAAGATAAGGTTTAAAGGTTTTTAACAATTCAGGGAGATAGTCTGAAAAACCTTTCCTTAAGAAGTATTAAAGATGAGGGGCACCTGGGTGGCTCAGTAGGTTAAGTGTCAGGCTCTTGATCTCAGGGTTATGAGTTCAAGACTCCATGCTGGGTGTGGAGCCTACGTAAATAACCAACCAACCTCTGGACCATTAAATAAGCATTTTGTATAATATATAGGTTCTAACATTATGTTTGATTTATTAAGCTGGTTCATTTCCCTTGTGTTTTTGACTTTTTAGTAGTGTCTTTCACTATATAGTGTATCTAGGATTGGCTTCTTCCTCTTTATAAACTTATATTAGGTAGATCCAGAGCACTGGAGATAAAACTTACAAATCAGACATTTTTTCTGCCCTCAAGGAACTTGTAGTCTAGTAAGAAGAGGCAGACATAATAAAATGATAGGTACCATGTTAGAAATATGTTCAGGTTACAGTGAAAACACTAAAGGAAGTCATCAATTCTACTGGTGAAAGTTGTGAGAAGCTTATATAATTGGCTCTTGAACTTCATCGTGTTAAATGAATAGGTGTTGAACAGGGAGGGGAGGGCATTCCAAGAACTGCAATTGGAAGCAGCATTAACAAAATAAAATTGATGTGTCTGAGAAGTGGATAATTTGGTTGCTAACAGGATGAAACATTAAGTCTGAATAGGTAATAGACTATGGAGGGTCTTTTGTCATGCTAAAATGATTGTGTTTTATTCGGTTAACAAATGGGCAAACTCTTTAGCAGTTTTAAATGGGAGGATCATGAAATATGTTGCCATTGAGAGACACCTGGGTAGTGTGTGTGTTTTGAGAAGAGAGCTGGTAATAAAGCATGTCTTTGGTACCTAAAATTGGCTGGAGGTTAAAATCACCTGAAGATTTTCACTACTGACCTATAGAATTAGAATTTCCATTTTCTTAAAAAATTCGGATTTGGAAGTGGAATGTTTTTTTCTTTCAATATAGTGTTCCAGTGGGCTGCTGCAACAAAAGTAGTAAAGTGTTTTTTTTGTTTTTTTTTTTAGATTTTATTTTGTTTATTTGAGAGAGTATGAGTGGGGAGGAGAGGGAGAAGCAGGCTCCCTGCAAGCAGGGAACCCAGTGCGGGGCTCTATCCCAGGAACCCAGGACCATGACCTGAGCCGAAGGCAGATGCTTAACTGATTGAGCCACCCAGGTGCCCCAAGATTTTTGTTTTTAATGCTTTCAGTTTACACTTCGATGTTTTATATTGGAAATGCCTTTTTCTGCTAATCCATTTATTGAAAGGATTATAATTCTGGGTAGGGAAAGTAAATACTAATTGTTGATTTTTTTAGCTAAATATTTTCTTATACTTTGTGGATTGACTACACATGAACTCAACTGTTTGCAATTAAGTTCTCTCCAACTCTCCTTTCATAAGGGTGGGGGAGATTGTGTGGTGGTCTTGTGTTCTCTGCCAGTTGGTGGCATTATCTAGCCCCCCAAGCTAGAGTACAGAAGACTGACCCTACAGTACCCCCACAACATCTAGTTGATCACTCAAATTCTGTTAATTTTTATCTTCCAGATATTTTTCCAGGTTCTGACTCATCACCCCTCCCCCCATTAACATTTTCCATCTTAGGTTAGTTAAGGTACTGGTTTCTTGCAAGTATGTTGCACTATTAAGAGTACCTTCCTTGGGGTCACAGTGTATCTATTAGTTCGCTGATATTAATTCCCTACTTTGCTGTCACAACTATCTCTTATATCTTCTAATCCAGTCAGATCACTGCTTCTAAAGCTCTGTAAGGCACCTATCACAGTGGTTTTTAATCTTGTTGGGGGGGTGGAATTTGAATCTCTCCATAACTGATGGAAGCTATAGACACGTCTCTCTAGAAATGTTCATAAATGCATATTTGCATTTCTTGGGCTTCTGGGGGATCACCTTGAAGTTGTTTCATAAATCTGGAATTGTTAGGATGCTGTAAGACCATCTTGTTTTCTTTTTAATGTTGTTTATTTGCTTGGAATGCTCATCCATCCCATTCCATTTTTTCATCATCTAAGGCTCTGCTCAGGTCTTCTAAAAAGGATTCCCCCGCCCACCACCACCAAAAATAACTGGACTAGATAGATAGACCTCCTCTCTGCTCTCCTAACACCTTTGTTACACTCTTCAGTACCTTAAGAGTCTTGCCCACCAGTGATCTTCAAGTTGGGAACTATACTTACTCATTTTGGGTCCCCCGTTGTAGAACTTGTCTAAAGTAGGCATTCACTTTATGCTTATTAAATAATTCAGTGAAGTCAGGATTTTTCAAACTTTTAGCAGCTTCTTCCTATGAGTAAAATATTTATATTTTTAGATTCTTTGGAAGTAAAGGTAAAGATGCATTTTTCTTTTTTATATTTTCTTAATTTTATTTTTTATTCTTTTTTTAAAGATTTTATTTACTTATTTGACAGAGACACAGCGAGAGAGGGAACACAAGCAGGGGGAGTGGGAGAGGGAGAAGTAGGCTTCCCGCTGAGCAGGGAGCCCGACATGGGGCTCTATCCTAGGACCCTGGGATCATGACCTGAGATGAAGGCAGATGCTTAACAACTGAGCCACCCAGGCGCCCCCTATATTTTTTTAATTTTAGAAGAGTTAATTCTAAGGTTTCTTCCAGATCTAAAATTATAATTTTACTTACGGGCATCTTCACAAATAAAAAACTTGAAAACTTTTCACATTTACAGAATCTTTTTTTTTTTTTTAAAGACTTCATTTATTTATTTGACAGAGAGAGAGAGAGAGACAGCGAGAGAGGGAACACAAGCAGGGGGAGTGGGAGAGGGAGAAGCAGGATTCCCGCAGAGCAGGGAGCCCGATGTGGCTTGATCACCTGAGCGGAAGGCAGACACTTAACGACTGAGCCACCCAGGCGCCCCTACAGAATCTTTGATGTAATAAATTTTCTGATTTTTTTTTTTTGAAGTCTGAATTCCTTTTTTTTTTTTTTTTTTAATTTTTTAAAGATTTTATTTGTCAGAGAGAGCTTGTGCACATACAAGCAGAGGGAGAAGCAGGCTACCCACTGAGCATGGAGCCCAATGCGGGACTCAGTCCCGGGACCCTGGGATCATGACCTTAGCTGATGGCAGATGCTTAACCCACTGAGCCACCGAGGCATCCCTGAATGTCCGTTTTCTTAAAATCTTGTTTAGCCATTTTAGACTATTGTCTGGGCTAAATTGTGTTTTCCATTTTGGGAAAAGGAACAGAAAAGTTTCCCAGCATCTGAAAAGTATTCTAGAAATACTTAATCTTTTCAACAGTAGATTTTTACATACCAATGAACTCATGTTATCCGTATACTCAGAGTGGGCATTTAGAATGTTAAAGAAGGAACCAGAGACAGAGATGGCATGAGTTCCTTAGGGAACTACTTTAAGATTTTTATGTTCAGTACTAAGATTTTCTTAATTTATTTAGCTCAGCAAATAATACCAGCAATTTGTTTTAATGCTGTGTGCTTATTTAAGCTCTGATTTGCCCAAGTGCCCAAATAATACTCCCCTTTGAGAGTACACATACTCTTGACTTGGAAAGCCTTCATTGTGAAGAGCATATTTAATAGGTGCTATAGAAACAAGGCACAGTGCTCTAATAAGTAGTGAAAAAGAAATTGGTGGTGCTTATAAAAGCAAGGAACATTACTATTCTTGTAAAACATTAATGAGAAAAAAATAGTGGTTGAATAGTTGTGTTTGATTTGTATATTTTGTGTTAAAATAGAATGGGCAAATATTTTGGTGGATAGGCTTTTGTCTGAGTTATTTTTAAAAATTAGGACATTTGGTCTGATAATGGCTGAGAACTTCAGAAATTGGGACTGGCCCAGAAAATGCAGAACACAGTGACCATCGCCTAAAATGACTGTACAGTTAGACACAGCCTCCTCCTTAAAGGTTTGAACTGCCAGATGTATAAACTCTAGGTGGGTTCTTGATTTGCAAATGCTAATTCACTGCTTCCACAAATACTTCATGATGTGCTGCTAAATTTTGATCAGTGCTTAAAATTTTTGCTTCTTCAAGTATTTATACTGTTACTGCAACATCAGAACTTTGAACCAAATGAGTTTTGCTAGGCAGGTATGGCATGCATAGGAAAGCTTAGTTTCAGGCTGCGTTAATGGAAGGTTCTTTAACTTTGGATGTTTCTTTAGTGAGTGGAAAGCATAAGCAAATGAGTAAAAAGTCTTATCCAAATAGTCTCATAAAAGGGACATCAAGTAAACGGTCTGATGCTTTTATAGAAAATCATTTACTGTAGCGTTGTTTTTAGTATTGATTTAGTTCTTTATATATTCATATGTTTTCATTCCCTTTTGTAAATTGTTTGAAATTTGACAACATACTGGTTTATGTACAAGCTCTAAGGTTAAAACAGTGTCTTTTTTTTTTTTTTTTATGTCACTTCCTTCCCTCCACACCTTCAAAAGCAAAAATTTGGGACTTACTGGTCAATTTGTTTTGCTTACTTCCCTCAAACCTTGGCTGATAATGTTTTTGATGAAGCTTGGGTGTGTGGGGGAGAGGGTGTTACAGTATAAGGGCATTATGTGTGTGAGGCACTGGGAAGGTAATAGACTGCCAAGAGTCAGTTGGAAATGAAAAGGAAAATCCTACTTCCCATGCATCCTTCTTCTGTAGTGATCATATACCCCGGATTTGCAGGGTTATCTGTACTGTTCATTACCCCTGTGGGAATACTGAAGGGGCCTAGAATTCTAATATTTTGGTTCTTTCATTTGAATTCTCATACTTAAAAGCAACACAAAAATTCTTAAATGGACTACTGACCTGGTTTAGTTTCAAGGGAATTGAAATTATTTTATGTATGGTCTTCTGTGTTCAGTACTCAGACTTAAACCTAATTATTTTTGTAATTTAGCCATACCCATGTAAGATTAGAGTTGTGGGATTGTTTAGGAATCTCACCACTAAAATATTATATCCATGAAAATTCTTTCGCAGTCTTAACTGTGTTCCCAACACCTTTCTACTTTTTTCTTTTTTTCTATTCTGCCTTCCTCTTTTCTCTTATCCAAGCATATCAGTTTTCCTAGCATGTTTACAATTTAGTATGTATTTTCCCATGTTTTCCCCCATGCTCATATAGTCATAGGTGTGTGTCATTATTGTACAGAAATGGTCTGTATTTAAATTAATATTTTATGCAAAGAAAATATGAATTTTTAATACGTTAGGGTCAGCATTTTCAGCCATCTTTTCTACCAGAAATATCTAAGAACTTCTTTGATTGGAAAAAATGATTACTTCAGTTATCTAACAGCTGTTATTCAAGTGTGCTGTGTTTTATAGGAATTACCGTAACTTAAGTGATGCTAAACAGATAGTGAACACTTTTCAGATTGATAAGAAAGAAAATTATAAACTTTTAAGAATTTTGAGTTCCATGGTTCCTGGCTGGCTCAGCTGGTAGAGCATGTGACTGTTGATCTCGGGTTTGTAAGTTCAAGCCCCCACATGGGGTTTAGAGATTACTTAAAAAAATAAAATCTTTTAAAATAAAATAATACATAAAAGAATTTTTAGTTCAGGAATGTTACGTTACATTTACCATTTATGCCCCTAAAAAGATAAGGCATTTTGAAAGTTGATTGGGAAATTATATAGCTGGATGTCCTATAGTTGAAACACATTTTCCTATCAGGGTCTTAGCTTTATCTTTAGATTTAATTAATTTCATTGACCTAAACTATTTGGATGTTTGCCAAGACTTAAAATTTACTTTTAGTAGTGTTAAATAGGCTGAGCTACCCAACATTGTAACTTGGATATTTTAAGTTCAATCAGAAAGGCTGCTGCATTCCTATCAGAGATAAGGCAAACTAGATTCCTATATATGAAAGTTTCTTTTCATAGGAAAGTAACTGCTATTTTAATTTTAAATAATTCTTAATCCATGTCCTTGGCTTATACATGATACATGTTATTCTTTAATTGAAATCCTGCTGATCCTTAATTCAGATGTTTGACTTTTTTTTTTTAAGATTTTATTTATTTATTTGACAGACACAGCGAGAGAGGGAAGGGTACACAAGCAGGGGGAGTGGGAGAGGGAGAAGCAGGCTTCCCGCTGAGCAGGGAGCTCCATGTGGGGCTCATCCCTGGACCCTGGGATCATGACCTGAGCCCATGGCAGATGAATAATGATTGAGCTGCCCAGGCGCCCTTTGTTTGACTTTTCTTAATAATAATAGTAGCTTGCACCAAGCTCTTCACACTTCTTCTCCCAATATTTGGGATTGTGAACACTACAGTCTCGGTACATCATGATTGCTAACAAAATAGTGTATTTGATTAGCGCTTTTTAAAAAAGTTAAATTGATACTTTGTTTCATTTGGGGATTTTTTTTAAAGTAAATAATTTAATATTAATGTTTTCCATCCAATTACAGGAGACAGAAATACCATCAGAAGAGGGGTACTGTGACTTTAATAGTAGGCCAAATGAGAACTCTTATTGCTATCAACTTCTTCGACAACTAAATGAACAAAGAAAGAAAGGTATTCTTTGCGATGTCAGCATTGTGGTGAGCGGAAAAATCTTTAAAGCTCATAAGAACATCCTGGTTGCAGGCAGCCGTTTCTTTAAGACTTTATATTGCTTTTCAAACAAAGAAAGCCCTAACCAAAACAATACTACCCATTTAGATATTGCTGCAGTTCAAGGTTTTTCAGTCATCTTGGACTTCTTGTATTCTGGTAACCTGGTGCTCACAAGCCAAAATGCCATTGAAGTGATGACAGTGGCCAGCTATCTTCAAATGAGTGAAGTTGTTCAAACTTGCCGAAATTTCATTAAAGATGCCTTAAATATAAGCATTAAATCGGAAGCTCCAGAGTCTGTAGTTGTGGACTATAATAACAGAAAACCAGTTAATAGAGATGGTCTGTCTTCATCACGGGATCAAAAAATTGCCAGTTTTTGGGCAACACGGAATCTTACCAATTTGGCAAGTAATGTAAAAATTGAAAATGATGGTTGTAACGTCGACGAGGGCCAAATAGAAAACTACCAAATGAATGACAGTAGTTGGGTCCAGGATGGTTCACCAGAATTGGCTGAAAATGAATCTCAAGGTCAAACAAAAGTGTTTATTTGGAATAATATGGGCTCCCAGGGAATTCAAGAGACTGGCAAAACAAGGAGGAAAAACCAAACTACAAAGAGATTTATTTATAATATACCACCTAATGAAACAAATTTAGAAGATTGCTCAGTGATGCAGCCACCTGTTGCCTATCCAGAAGAAGATTTATCATTCATCAAGGAAGAACCAGGTAAATATTTTATATACAAAGATATTTCAGTTTTCATTCTAATTAATTACGGTTGGATATCATCTTGAAGTATGTTTTTAAGGTATTTCTTAAACTATAAAAGTAATACACAAAAAAAGTAATTTGAGTGTTTATCTTAGGAGAAAATTAATAATATAATTTTGGTATATGTTTTTTCTCTGAGTTTCTCAAAGTTTGTGTTAATCTTATATGTGGTGTGTGGACTCTTCATTTATAGTTCTTTGACTTCTGGATCTTTGGCATCTCTGATCACTTTTGCACGCAGTGCTGGAAAAGATACAAGATAATGTAATCTTAGTTAAAATCTTAGTTGTAATACATAGTTTGTCATTTCAGAACATTTTGAGACCTAATTAACATTTTTTATTCCCAATTTTTTTATTTGGTAATTAAACATTTAAGTGTTTATTAGAATTTTGCAAATGACAGTGGGATTATTCCAATTTGTTTAGAGCTACTATTCTATTCTCACCGTAAATCTTAGAGAAGCTGAAATGTTTCAAATTTGTCCCACTGTGCCCTCATTTTCATTTTCATTCATTAAGAGGACTCAGACCTTTCTCCTCACTATATAACTAAAAGGATATATACAAAATCTTAGCATATCACATTTGTGCTGTGGACCTTTTTTTTAACGGATTTTAATGGGATGGGGGACCATTGTTACACAGTATAAATAGAAAAATTTGAAACTTTAATTGCCTTTGCCTAATTTAATTATATTTGAAGAAGTAGTGGATTTGAGGTTTTCCTGTGCAGACCCCAGACTTGAGGTATATGTCTACCACTGTCATAAATGATTCAGTGTTTGTTTTGCTGTCTCAAAGCTCTGTAATTATTCAGTGTCTGATTTACATCATGGTGATTATCTGGGGATGGAGTACTTGGTTAAAAAGAATCATTGTTTTTAGTTCTAAAGGGCAGAATGCCATAGTAAACCTATGAAATGGTTTGTCTGGCTTTTTAGGTATGGATTTAGTTTTCATTGGTTTTCAGATTTACTTAGGTGAAAATCACATCTGCATAATGAATATGATTTACTGATCTTTTCCCTCATACTTGTCTACTGTTTAATAATTAAATCTCAGAGGCAGTTTCTTTAAAGTATTAAAATAGGGTAGACTTTCTTAGCATCACGTTATTTTGGCTTAATTTTTAATACAGAAGACCTTGAAGTAATTCTCAAAAATGAGCTACATTGTCTTTCTGCTATAGAGATAAATAGTTTAATAGTATGGTGGGAACCCTGTGGTGGTTTTTAAAATACACACACAACACCATGTAAGGCATAAACAGGTTTTGGGGGTAGTAGTTGGCAAAACTAATCACAGCTAACCCATTCTTAATGCCACATATAATTGGAGTGATTCAAAGAAAAGCACTACTATTGAACCATGTTGCATACTTTACAAACTTTTTTTAAAAAACATTTATTTATTTATTTGACAGAGCACAAGCAGGGAGAGCAGCAGGCAGAGAGAGAGGGAGAAGCAGGCTCCCTGTTGAGCAGGGAGCCCGACATGGGGCTCAATCCCGGGACCCGACTGAGTCACCCAGGCACCCCCACAATGCATACTTTAAAAAATATTACTAGCTATTATTTTGGCAAGCACCCCCTCAGCTGAGTTTGTATCAATGGAATAGGTGTATCATAAATTTTTGGTAGTCTAATATGCTTTCAATTTATCTCTTACATCTTACAAAAATTGTATTATGTTATGGGTATCACTTTGGTTTCTGAACCTTGCTTAATTGACATTTGATTTTATCAGTGATACGCTATATTCCAGCTGTTAAACTTTTTGCAACTTCTCGGTGCCTCTAAATCCAGCCTCACTGAATGGCAGGAAATGGGGGTTTTATAAGAATATTATGATTAGGACATAATATGATGCAGAGCCAGAGTTTGGCAAATTTTTACTGTAGAAGACCACAGTAAATATTTTAGGCTTTGCTGGTCATAAAGTCAGTTACTTAATTGTAGCATGAAAGCAGTATTAGGTATACACAGATGATCATGGATATGCTTCAATAAGGCTTTATAGCCAACCCTTGGTATAGAGCAGTGGGTCTTAATCTTTCTTCGCTGCATATTGTGCAGTCCTTGGTGCTTGGGTCTTTCCAGTAGGGATTGAGTTAATTGGTTCTGGGATGTCGCCTGGTTGTTGGAATTTTTATAAGCTCTGTAGGTGATTACACTGTGAGTGAAGGTTGAGATCCACTGACAAAGAGGAAAGATCCCAAATTGAGTCATGATCTGAAAATGAGCTCTGTACTTACCTACTGTGTGACCGCGACCAAATTAAACTCCTGTCTTCAGTTTCTTCATCTTTAAAGTGTGGTACTTATTTTAAGGAATTATTATGAAAATTAAATGACAAAAGCACAACTGTCATGGTCATTATAGATCCCCTTAAAATTGGGAGACTTGAGATTATTTAAAATCAGTTTTCCAGTGTAGCGTGCTTTCTACTGGATTCTAGAAAAGAAGTTATTGTATATTGAGCCAAAATTCATTCTTTTTAACTTCATGAACCTGTCATTTTGAGTAGTATAATCTGAGCCTAACCTCTAATCTCTCTAATCTACCTGATAACCAACCCTTCAGATAACTATAGATAATTTATTAAACTAAGTGAATTCCTTATGAATTCCAAGTGCCTTTACCATCTTTCTTACAGTCATAGACGTGGTTTTTTTTTTTTTCCCCACCCAGAAATTTTGGTGTACAGAATTAACTACAACTCTGGAGGCAAATTCTGACCAATATAGAACACAGTGGGTCTGTGTTTATCAAGGTTGAGGCCTGGCTCAAGGTCACTCAGCTAGTAAAAATAGAGGCAGGTTTCATGTTTAAGACCGTCTCACATTAAAACCTTGTAATTAATGAACTGGTAGACTCAGTCTTTTAAAAAAAATTGGTCCCTTTTAAAACCTCAGAACATTTTTATGAACTGCACCATCATTGGTTACACTTTGATTTCTACTTATTGAGAAAATACTGAAAATGTTCAGTGAAATAAATGCTTTTAAATGAATTTAAAGTTATGTACATAAATATCTGAAAAGTCATAATAAGTTATTTATACGGTCTATGAGCAGTGCTTGGCATATTTGGACTTGTAGATCCCTTTGAGAACTGAGTTCCCTAGACTCTTAAGCCTATAGTCTGTAAACCACAGCTCTAAATAATATCTCCTTGCCACGTACTGTTGAAGCTCGTGTTCCAGTGCCTCATAGAGAAGTGTTGTAAGATACTGAGATAAGAAGGTATACCCAGAAATAGGGATTTATTTATCTATTTTTTTAAGATTTTATTTATTTGCCAGAGGGAGGGAGAGTACAAGCAGGGGGAGTGGCAGGCAGAGGGAGAAGCAGGCTCCCTGATTTCATATGTACTTCTGGAGAAACAGTATTAAAATATTTGTAAATTTTTATTAATCCCTTATAAGTAGAGTTGAAATCAGGTTTCACCTTCACAGTTTCAATTTGTATATTTGCCTTTTGGGTAAAAAGCGCACATAATTTGAGTATTTAGAAGACAACCTTGAGATGTGGGACTCGATCCCAGGATCCTGAGGTCATGACCTGAGCCGAAGGCAGACGCTTAACCATCTGAGCCACTCAGGTGCCCCAATATCAGGGATTTACATGGGTTCTTTTTAAATATATATATATATCTTAAACTAGTGTATCCATTATTTGACTCATTACTGCAATTTGCTTCAAATCATTTTTGATATATGAGGATACTTGAAATAGAACTTAGGAACGGTAGAAACTTCTGTCCTTTTTACTGTCTTACTGGAGTTTATGGGATAATTATAAAGGTAGTCATTAATGAGTTGCTCTGGTACTATAAAAATTTCAAATCCTTGTCTTGCTGATTCACAACCAGAAAATAAATTTCAGCCAAATAAAGTATATAAAAATCTGAGATTAGGAGGGCGCCTGGGTGGCTCAGTTGGTTAAGCGACTGCCTTTGGCTCAGGTCATGATCCTGGAGTCCCGGGATCAAGTCCCGCATCGGGCTCCCTGCTCGGTGGGGAGCCTGCTTCTGCCTCTGACCCTCCCCCCTCTCATGTGCGCGCGCGCGCGCGCGCTCTCTCTCTCTCTCTCTCTCTCTCGTTCTCTCTGTCTCAAATAAAAAAAAAAATCTGAGATTAGGAATTAAATTGTAGGAGTAAATATAATACCTAAAATTGTTTTACAGAGTGTGTTCACACATGCTATTGTTTTTAATTGGAGCAAGTCACATGTTAATCTTACTGTTGATCTTTTGATGCTCTGGGATTATAAGGAACATGATTTTCTGAATCTAGGTTTTTCTGTTATTTCAGTCACAATAGCAGGTTGCACCCATTATAAATAACTGCTCTGCATGTGTACACATAACTAATTTATGAATGCATACATACTTCATTTTGAACAGACGTTTTTGAAACGACTGACAAGAAACATCAGCAAAACAAATAACATAAAGCAATAAAGAAGTTAAGTGTGCTAGTCAAGAGTGTTAATATAGTTGCCCTAATTAAGCTTTTAATTGGCTCTAAGATAACAAGCAGCCTCTCAGGAGGAGGAAAGATGCCAGTTCTGGAAGATGACAAACTTCTCTGGTACTGAATTTTGAAAGGAATTTTTTCAGTGGGGTTTTTATATAGTTGATAACATGTAGTATGAAACAATTTCCTCAAAAACATTTTCTAGTAAATGAAGCAGTATATAATTGATTTTCTGTCTTTAATACAAGTTGATACAATTCTATGTAGATGATTTTTTTCTTAATGTCAGTATACTAAGATTCAGATGCAAGGTGATTTTTTACTTGACCAAAGAATATAATTTAGAGTTCTTTAAACCTAAAAGTTCCTTTCTTTCATACGTACTTCTGGGGAGAACAGTATTAAAACATTTGTAAATTTTTATTAATCCCTTATAAGTAGAGTTGAAATCAGGTTTCAGCTTTACAGTTTCAA